AAATTAAATAAAAGACATTAATTTGATAAATTAAATATTAAATTAATGAACCTAAAAGTTAATATAATAGATCTAAAAGAGAGTGCATTAAAATTTCAGAATCTAGAAGAGGTATTGTTAAAGATATGTCTATTTATAGGGGGTGTTGTTGAAGTTGTGTCTATTTACTAGGAGTGTGGATAAAATTTATCTTTTAAAATATTTAGGGGTATTTCTGTAAATTAACAATCGTCATTAACGCCGTAACCCAACAAACACTAGCAGGAGGTGACATTTAAATTTCAAAATCGAAAAGAAATGTCATTGAATTTAAACATAATTACAAGAGGTGTTGATGAAATTTTCCCTAAATAAATACTTATGTTACACTTTTCACGAGCTTAAGCTTTTAGAACATAATCTAGATTGGATCGCTACTTCACCAATGGAACTTCTTTTATTTTTCACCCAGTAATGCTATTTGTACTCAGTTTTTTAACTATTGTTAATGTTTGATTTGGTAAGATGAAAAAATTGTAGGATAAAAATTTAGAAGAAAAAAAAGTTAGAAAGAAAGATAAAACATCATGTTTTTGCAAGGAAAAAATATAAGAAGGATGAAAAAGTGTATAGATTAGCTTTCCATTTGACTCAACAAAATAAATCCTTTCAAAATTAAGATGAAAAGTTAATTATATGTGTTGAAATGTATGTTATTTGTATATATATTCATTGATATATATATTAATTGCATATTATGCATACATTAATTTTATATATAGTTATAACGATAAAAATGTATCTATATATTTTCTACCCTTCTACTATTCCATCCTATCAAATACATAAAATAAAATAAAATCTTCCAACTTGGCTTTGGAAAGAAAAGTGATGACATTATCTTTATTTTGTACAAAAAAATTCTTGATTTGAACTTGTGATTGGTTAGGCTTCTCCCTTTCCGAGCTTAAGGCTTCTCTTTTGTCTGGTTGTAATTTAAATTTTTCTACTTAATATATTGCTGCATGGTTATTTATGATCAAAAAAAAACTCGCGACGTAATTATAAAAGAAAATATAAAACTTGTATTATCATTTTCACATGACCTTTGGATGAAAAAAACTTGAAGGTAGAAAAAATCAGGGTGAATGGCCAAATCTAACAATGATAACACGGGACACTACTCGATCGGTTGGTTTCATTTCATATTCCTAATACTACATGCATTTTGTCTTTATAACGGGAACGCACGACAGTAGTCTTGACTAGGGCTCTGGCTTTTCATGTTATTTTTTGAACCATAGATTTCACATAATTTTAATAACCGGCCTATGACATTTTGGGGCTTAAAGCGGTAATTAAAAAAGAGATATTTTATTTAATATTTATTTTTCTCACTTTTTGAGATGCGCAGTATCTAAGTTTAAAATGATTATGTTAATAGAGAAATTATAGATTTTGGGGTCGTTTAGTTGTTATATTATAAAACACTTTACAAGTTTATATTACATTTAGATGCAAAAAATCATTTCGTATTCCTCCCTTAATTCATGCGAATTTTTTTTTTAAAAAGTGCTATTATTTTTAAATTATATTTAATACACCTTGATTCATGCGTTATATATATATACTTGTTGTTAAATCTCTTATCTAAATTTTGAATTATCTTTAATGTACCTTAATTAATGCGTATTTTTTTTTTAAAAAAGTGATTTTGTTTTCAAATTATATTTAATACACCTTGATTCATGCGTTTTTTTTTTTGTAAAGTAGTTTTATTTTTAAATTAATTTAATAGCCGAATAGTTTAATAATGTAACTATAACAGTGTAATAATAACAATGTAATAGTGTAACAAACTATTTACACAAAATATTGTACTATTACATTTTGTCAAACATATAGTTTAGTTTCATATAATTTCATTCAAAATAGTCCATCTCCATTTTGAATTTGTTACCACATGAACAAAACTACTGAACACTATTTTTGTTACAATGTATTGTTACACTGTCTTTGTTACAGTATATTTATTACACTGTTTTTATTACACTATTATGGAGTTCAGATATTAACAAATTTTGAAATTTAAACAAGTGATATATTCTAAAACAAACGAAATATTAAAATTCTGCTATAAAACTACTAGTAGTAAATATTTAATGTATAAATATAATTTAAAAATAAAACCACTTCACAAAAAATAATACGCATGAATCAAAGTGCATTAAAAATAATTCCAAATTTAGATAAGAGATTTAACAGCAAGTATATATATAAATTCAAACAAGTATATATTTATATGTATTCACAAATACACATGAATTAATGTGCATTAAAAATAAGATATTTTAAATTAAATGACCCTAAAATGGGCATTTACATCTTCATATTTCAACTATGTATTTTTTTTCAAAACATTTTGTTCTATGTACTTTTTGTCAAATAAGTTTAATTAGGTGTAGCGGCTTCTAAAGAACCCTTCAACATTCAATCCTCTACATACCCATGTTTGGTATTCGCATGGATATATCATTATGATAATAATATATTTGTATATAAATGACTATTGTGCCTCTTAACCAATCTAATCTAAACACATGTTTGAATAGGATTATATGGGTTACATGGGGGTATAAATGTTATTTTTTATATTCAACCCTTTAACCCCCATATGAAACCCAACCCCCCTCCCCCACCAGGTTTCATGAAACCCATGAAACTGGGTTTAAAATGCGAGCTTAAAGTGGGTTAAGTTTGGTAATCTGTGATAGAAATTTAGTTATCAAACATGAATTTGTTGGATTTTGTGGACTTTTATTTCCCAACCAGTCTTCCAAATCCCCCTTGTCCCACATGCCAAATAGGTCATTAAGAGCATAAAATGCTTAATCCCAAGATGGTTTTTGTTGTTGTGCTCAAAAGAATTGGGTGTGGAAATGGTGGTGTTCGGAAATTCGCACAAATTCTCAAACCTGTGAGAAACAAAAATAGAAAAAACATACGCTAAAGAAAAATAATCACACGTACAAGACAGTATTTACGTGGTTTAGCTATTAGCCTACGTTCACAAAACTGCATGGATTTCACTATTATCAAGAAAGAATACAAAGTAGCCGTACAGAGTCAATCAAACCCTAATCACCCAAAACAATAGGTTTTGTATGTTCTACACTGGGTTACAAAGCGGGCCAAAAAATACCGACTATCGGCCTAAGCTTCTACTCCATGAACTAAGTCTCATAAAATTTTTTATTAAAAACTATAAGCATTATTTCGTGTCGGGTCATCATTCGAATCAACATAAAAAACTATAATCCACATAAGGCCAACAGGTGCTATGTTAAAAAAATAATTCTCGTACAAAAGACTGAGAAATTAAGACAATTAAATAATTTACAACTAACTGGATTATTTCTGCATAAACTAATAAAGCAAGCCACCACATAAGGCGGTTACTAGGATCAAAAGCACAGAACCTGTAGTGTATCACCTTCTCTCCGAGGCTTCGCAGCTATTCCATGTGGTTGTGGAGCTAGAAAATCACGGCAGGGGGGACTAGTTTTGTGTCTGTGTACGTGTCTGATCCATCGATCCAAGCAGACTTTATGAAAAAGATGATCACATCTAAGCCCTCTAATCTCATCACCTTCCTCAACCTTACATAGACACACTGCACATTCTACACATTCATTTGAAAACCAGCACTTGTACAGCTCACATTCAGCTCTTCCAAATTGATCTCGGGCGAATGACTCGTTTCAAAAGAGAAACTCCACACCCTGTCAAGATGGGTAGTGAGTAATACATTACGAATGCGACGTAGGAGGAGGAAGATGAAGATACAACAGATCACAAGGAGAAAGAATTGAGTTGAAATGACTGCTAGAGAGTTCATTTTTGCTTATTGAATTAAGGCAGAAACAAAGGAAGTGCAGTCATGAAGTTATACTTTGTGTCCACAAGACAAAGTCTAGGCTACTATAAAATTGTCGAGATAATCAAACATGTTTCTTTATTGAAGCTAACCAAGTAGGCTATCGTAGGCTTGCTTCAATGAATGTTGGATTCAAATCATTCCCAATATGGGGCTCATTCATTGGCATGTCAATTTTACACATGATTATCACGAACACGCTACGAACTCAAAAATGACAAAGTAATTAATATAAATAATAAATAGATTGAGTTAATTTTAGATACAAACAACCCATTTTTATTAGAATTGCTAGAAGAAAAATATCATAATATTTATTTTATTCTTCACGCAATATTGTCTGAATTGTTTCAATTCATGTCATATTCAAATCGTTTCCACAAGTTCGTGTAGTTTTCGTGCCATGATCATGCCCTCTCAACAAAGTTATTGGTGTGCAAATGGATACCAAATAATATTTTTTCTTTGCCAATTTGGGCAAAGCTACCTGTGTATATTGCAACTTGGATGGCCTATGGTACCTAAAGGGATCACCACTCATCATTTCGAAGCCAGTATTATGAATCAGGGAGCATGCATCTTTGTACTATTGTACATGCATGTGCGCCTTTAAACTTCATAACCAATCTTTCGTGGATGAGAATCGATTCTCAGACAGTTTGTGATGAAGATAGATCGGTTTCCAGAGAAACAATGCTTATCGTTTCATGTTGATAGACATGAATGGAAAATATCCGGGTGGTTGTTCTGAGTAAAGAACTCCGCTTTTGGTTCTGCTAATAAATCAAGCTTTGTACCAATAAAGCATTGGTCATTAATTAATCTTATAGAAATTCCACTTGGGAAAACACTCCTATACATTTTTCCAGAACATTAAATCTAAATTACTTTCATAGCACAGTTACAATAAAAAGTGTCCTAGTCCTGTGGTTTATTGTTAAAGTGAGCATGACCCGAACTCAAAATTACACAACCTGAATATGGATGACACGATTCAAACGACATCACCAGATATATTTTAGACATTTTTACGAAACAGGATGATGTGAAACTTTGGAGCAACCCAAAGGAGTAACACCTAATTTCACTCCCATTTGATCTTGATCTGATGAGTGTTCTTGAAATCATAAGTCATCACCAAGCTTCCGTCCATTCTTTTCAACACAAACCTCTCGACCAACACATAACATCCAAATTTCCTCCACTGCCCACTCCCTCCAAACTCCTCCACTCTCTTCACCCTTTCTTCTCTATCCTCCCCACCAATCCACCCACCTCTTTCTTCCTCCCATTTCATTCTTTCAACAATTTCTAACCTCAATCCCACACTCTTTCCTTCTCTCACATTGCCAAAACTCGTAAACCATATCGCCCCATCAACCACGTCTCTCTCATTCCATTCAGCTTCCCTGTCAACAACATAGACAACTTCTCTTTGAACAACAACATCAACAAAAACAGTGTTTCCTTCACTCAATTTATTCCCACTAGTGAAAATCTTCTCCCATCTTTGTTCCAGTGTCATCTCATAAAACATTGATTGTTTCCTCTGATCTCTCAATGTTCCATCTTTGATAAAAATTTGAGGACAATACCACTTCCCCACAATGACAGCTTCAGACCTCTTATAGTTTAATGGGAAGGTAAACTCTGGAAGTTGTGCACGGAGGGTAGCGTTAAGGCCCAGAGCTTCGCCTAGTTCGTAGTTTTTTGGTGTTTCACCTTGAATTCGCCATCCTTTTGTCCTCAAGAAGTATGGAGGGAAACCATCAGGTGCTACAGACATGGCATAAAACTCACCCATGGCATTGCTACTTGTTCCATACTTAGCAATCTCAAATTGCTGATAAATGTCAAGTGGATCCAATGGCTTTGGTTTCATATCTCGGATGCAGTGGCAAAAACAGCTAGTGGCCATGTCTTCCTCCCTTGAACAAGTGTATGCTTCCCTGAAATGGCACAATTGAATAGAAGTATTTAAACAAAGCAGCGTGTCTATGTCCATCCGGCGAAGCGATCAGTTTGATGATTGCTTCTAAGGCTGGCAATGGACCGTGTTTAACTCATGTCATGTTAAAATTTGCTTAATCCATGCTTAGTTATGACCCGACCACATTAAGGTTAAACTCATGTCTGCTAATTTTATGCCAATTTTGTATTTCATTGATGGGTATGTTGAGAATCGTCAGCCTTACTTGGTACATCCACCTAACTGGACCATGTTTAATTCCTAAAGTCACAATCTGGTAAGAGGATGAATGGGCCTTAATCTGACGTATTATCACCAGATTCACCAGTGACGGAATATTCGTGCATTGGACAACTTTTTTGAAACCATTTTATAATGCAATACTATAGATACAAACCTATAACAAATGAATGACACCAAGAAAAAATTGAAGACAAAAGGATTGAAGTTCTTTTTGGTAAAAGCATCCATACCCTCTATTCGATCCGTGTGGCTTTATCGCGTAATAAAGATTGGAAGACAATGGCTGATCAAGAACTGGAATGAAAGCAACATAAGAATAATAATGATCTTCAAAATATATGGTCAACTCTTTGTTCTGAGGGAAAGGTAGGTCTGCAAGGTAACTGTTCTTCTTGCACAATCCCAAATGAGCCTCAGCTTCTTCATCTTGGAGTACCAAGCAACCTGAATTGGGTCCTTCTGGGGATAAAGAAAGAGAATCAGGAAACTTCAGGTACTGAGAAAGAGGCCTTGTCACATACATACTGATCAGAAAATTTTCTTTCTCCTACCCTCTCTCTTTCTTTGTTGCTTTTTTCCATGTATTTTGTGTATCAGAGAGAAAAAGGTTGAATTCAAATAGCTTATAGTCTGCTTAGGTAATTTGACTTTGTTGATAATTAGATGTTTTTCTTGGATGTTTCTTCAAGGCTAAAGGGATAGTGTGATTGGCCCATGCTGACTTCTTGTGTTGGTTATATTTTGACCAAATTGAGTTTTTCATTAGAATGTATTCACAACATTCCTCAAGGGAGACAACCAGATGGCACACTAGGGATGGACCATAACGCGTGGGTTGGCTCGCCCATCGTGGGAAAATTACGGGTTGTGCTACAAAATTGTTCCGAATCAAACGCCACAGCCCGGTTTGGGTCGACAATACTATGACATCTTTTAATTTGCAAGTATGAAAAATAAAAAAGGTTAATTGCACTAAAAGTTCCCAAAGTATGAAATTTATTTTATTTTGATCCCTAAAGTATTAGATATATTTTTTTATGATCCCTCAAACAGACAATGTTCATATTACTAACGATTTTTTATCATAAACTTGTTATAGGATACTTAAATATGAACAAAAAAATAATTTAAATAACTCTTAACTAAATTTTTACTCAAATTTTGGTTAAATACCCACATAAATTACACATGTTTGATTTTGAGCTATTCAAATTTGGTCAAAAACTACCCATATTATACATTTTTTTTGTAAAGAAATACCCAAATTTTGTTTGAAAGCTATTAAAATTATTTTTTGTCCATATTTAACTATTACGTGACAAATTTATGATAAAAAATCGTTAATAATCTAGACATTGTCTGCTTGAAAGACCATATAAAAACATATTCAATACTTCAGAAATCAAAATAATGCAATTAAAACATTGGAGACTAAAATGAAACAGATTTCATGCTTTTGGAAGACCTCTAATGCAATTATCTCAAATAAAAAAGGCATCAAACTTTTAGAAATTAAAAAAATAAAAGATCATGGCCCATAAGGAGACCCTCCTCCAGCCGTTAACCCATACACCCATGGTAAGGGCCTAGACCAAGAGAATGGACCAGGTGCTAGGCCTTGAATAGAAAATCATGAGGTCAAGGCTGCAATTCCCGTGATTGGCCCGGCCCATAACCAACCTAGGGCCCAATGGCCTTTTGTTGTTGAATTTTTAGATACTGTAATCTGCAAACCATGCTCATCCCATAACAAACCAACAAAAAGAAGAGAAAAGGATGCAAAAGCTATAGTTTTTGGAATGACAAAAAAAAAACNGGATGTTTCTTCAAGGCTAAAGGGATAGTGTGATTGGCCCATGCTGACTTCTTGTGTTGGTTATATTTTGACCAAATTGAGTTTTTCATTAGAATGTATTCACAACATTCCTCAAGGGAGACAACCAGATGGCACACTAGGGATGGACCATAACGCGTGGGTTGGCTCGCCCATCGTGGGAAAATTACGGGTTGTGCTACAAAATTGTTCCGAATCAAACGCCACAGCCCGGTTTGGGTCGACAATACTATGACATCTTTTAATTTGCAAGTATGAAAAATAAAAAAGGTTAATTGCACTAAAAGTTCCCAAAGTATGAAATTTATTTTATTTTGATCCCTAAAGTATTAGATATATTTTTTTATGATCCCTCAAACAGACAATGTTCATATTACTAACGATTTTTTATCATAAACTTGTTATAGGATACTTAAATATGAACAAAAAAATAATTTAAATAACTCTTAACTAAATTTTTACTCAAATTTTGGTTAAATACCCACATAAATTACACATGTTTGATTTTGAGCTATTCAAATTTGGTCAAAAACTACCCATATTATACATTTTTTTTGTAAAGAAATACCCAAATTTTGTTTGAAAGCTATTAAAATTATTTTTTGTCCATATTTAACTATTACGTGACAAATTTATGATAAAAAATCGTTAATAATCTAGACATTGTCTGCTTGAAAGACCATATAAAAACATATTCAATACTTCAGAAATCAAAATAATGCAATTAAAACATTGGAGACTAAAATGAAACAGATTTCATGCTTTTGGAAGACCTCTAATGCAATTATCTCAAATAAAAAAGGCATCAAACTTTTAGAAATTAAAAAAATAAAAGATCATGGCCCATAAGGAGACCCTCCTCCAGCCGTTAACCCATACACCCATGGTAAGGGCCTAGACCAAGAGAATGGACCAGGTGCTAGGCCTTGAATAGAAAATCATGAGGTCAAGGCTGCAATTCCCGTGATTGGCCCGGCCCATAACCAACCTAGGGCCCAATGGCCTTTTGTTGTTGAATTTTTAGATACTGTAATCTGCAAACCATGCTCATCCCATAACAAACCAACAAAAAGAAGAGAAAAGGATGCAAAAGCTATAGTTTTTGGAATGACAAAAAAAAAACCATAGGGCTACCTTACCATTCACCAATCAACTTAAGAACAGAGCAAACAAGGAAGTACTAATTCTGATTAACAGAGAGAAAGATAAGGACTACAAGGGAAGAGAAAATAAGTAAAAATACACAACAATATAACAGAAGAGATTAATCTCCACTAATCTCTTAACATAAATATGTACTTAAAACCCTCTTCATCTATCAGAAATTTCCCTGAAATTAATGTTTTCAGTTCATCATATTAAAGCCTCAAGGTATGATTTTCATCCTTCTTACTTGCACTTCTCAAGCCAGAATGATGTCTGAAAATCCATTTCCAGACCTTATTATAACCTTTGCTTCCCTTTCTGAATCCTCTGTCATTCACTGTAATCCTACATGAAGGCCCATTGCCAAAGAGCAAATCTTCTTTTAAACTTCCAAATGACCTTGCAGATTCTAGATTTTCCATAAAAGCCCCACTCCTCAAGCTTCCAAAACTTGAGAGTGAGATTGGAAGGTCACTCATTTTTAGACCAGAGAAATCTGATTTTGATTCTGATGATAAATCAAGCTTTAAATCAATGAAGGCTGATTCATCCATGCCACTGAAATCACTCTCTTTTACTGGGAAAACACACCTGGTTGGAACACTAGAAGCTCTATCAAGCTCCAAAGGCCCACCAGTCCTGTTTACACCCTTGAAATCAAGACCATTTTCAACACCCAAAACTCCTTCAAACCCACTTTTTCTTGGTTCTGCTTCATTCAATCCCACTTGTTTCTCAGCATCTAACAGTATGCCCCCTGTAAAATCTGAAATTTTAGCACTTGACAAACCAAAATCACTACATTGATCTGGGTAATTGAAACCACCAACCCTGTAGCTACAGAGTGACCTAGACCTAGACACACCCATGTCACTTTCATCATCAAATCCACCATTTCTCTCACTACCCTTTTCTCTTTTCTTCCTAAAGAGCCTCCCAATCCTCCCAAAGCTCCAAATCCCATTGCTCCTCTTGATTTCAACACAGCTACTGCTACTCCTCTTGAGCAGAAAAGCTGCTTCTGATCTCTCCCCATTCTTGGGCTTTGAATGTGAGTGTTGGGTCTCAGTTTTCTCATTCTCAATCAGGAATGAAATTCTTCCAACACTTCCCACATCCACAGTACTGCATGAATTGCGGTACGAAGAGATATCAGAACAAGAGCAAGAAGAAAGACGTTGCTCTCCACAGTCTGAGCAGACCAACTTAATCAGCCTGTCTTTGAGACAGTAAGCACAGATTCCAACAGAAGATGAAGATGGGTGTTTCTTGCATGGAAGATCTGATGATGAAGAAAAGTTGAAGTCAGAGAAGAAGTTCCCATTGTTTGATTCTGTAGCTTTGCCTCTCTCTTTCATGGCTCTTTTTCTCAGTTTGAAGATTGAACAGATGAATTTGGAGTTGTGAAGAGCCTAGAAAGTTGATTGAGATTTAATCTAGAACTGGGGGGATTTTGGATTTGAGAAGAGCATAGAAAGTAGTTTGATTTAATACTAAAAGATGGGTTATATAGAGATGGTGCTAAAAGAAGCAAAGCAAGCACATAGCTCAACAAAGATACAGAAGAGTGAGTAATAGACTAGGCTTTGAGGTTTAGGAGCTCTGCTCAAATCAAAACACACTAAGTTGAGAATTGGCTATGAAGATGAGATGACAATGCTCCTAAAAAGCTAGTTGAAGTTGTATATGACTCTTGGAGAGAGAGAGAGAGAGGGGGGGGGGGAGATTTTTTTGAGCCACAAGAGAGAGAGAGAGAGAGAGAGAGAGAGAGAGAGAGTGTCTGAAGAATGAATATGGCACATGTATGTTTTGGGCGTTTTTCCCCCTAGCATACTGAAATTATCATATAATAAGAGTAAATTTATATTCAAGGTCGTGATATTAATGTAAAAAAGGACTAATTATGGTGTGTTTGGCAGGTAAATAAAAAAAATAGAAGGATAAAAAGTAAGAGTAATTTTTATTTTCCTCTTTTGTGTTTGGTAAGAGAGATGAAAAGTAGGAAGAAATAAATTTTATTTTTTTTGTGTGTTTGGTAGGGTGAAAAAGTGAAAAAATAGAAAAATTAAAAATATATATTTTATCATTACATCTATATATAAAATTAATGTATATATAATATGTAATTAATAAATATGATATATGTATATGTATATATAAAGAATGTATAAGCAAATAACATACATTTTAACAAATATAATTTACTTTTTGTTCACTTTTTTTTTAATTTTAAAGGAATTGATTTCAGTGAATTGAATGAAAGAAAAGTTAATCTTCTATTTTTTTATCCCACTTATTTTTTTTCTTTATCAAACATAATATTTTATTTATCATTTCACTTTTCATTTATCGTACTAAACAAAGTATTAGAGTTTATCATAATATTTTTGGGATCAATTATAATTTTTTTACCACAACTTCAACCCCATTAAATCTTAATATTTTGGAACCGAATTATTTTTTTGTCATAATTTAGACCTATTTAATTATAGCTTAACTCAAGAAATTAAAACTTGCAGCTAAAATAACTATAAATTTTGATACAACACCTCCCTCACTACCCTACTTTTGGGATTAATTGGAGTCAATCATAACATTTTTTTAATAAATTTTCACTTTTTTTAACTTAGACGCACAAGTTTGCATTAAAAAGAGTGTCAAAGTTATCAAAAAAGACTAGAATCTCACTCGGATGCAAGATCCAATAACTTTGGATACGCACTTTTGTTGATACTGAACTCATAAAGTGTGTCGATATACACAAAACCATTTATAGAAATCGATAAATTTCATGTTGGTTGGGTAATCATTGGTGAAAATCCTTAAAATGCCTATCTTAGAAAGATACAAATTTTTATAAAATAGTCATTAAATATTTAACTTCAATGACATAGGTTTAGAATGACCAAATTCATACACATACTATGAATCTTTTGTTATAATTTAGACCCCATTTAATCATATTTTTTGTTATTTTAGACCCCATTAAGTAATAATCTAACTCAAAAATAATAAAAATTTGAAAATTTTGATTAAAAAAAATACCTCTGTACTCTACTCTTACACGCTATGTATGACTTGTTAGACAAAGAAAGACGCGTCACCTTTACGTTTTCTTTCCAAGAAACAGCCTAGTAATTACAAGGAAGAGTGAAGAAAATGCCGTCTCTCTCTCTGTCTCTCTGTGCAGGTATCATTGTGTGTGGGGAAACAGAGAGAAACATAAATTGGTTACTCCAAACACTGTTTTATCATCCAACAAGTCTTCGTACAGTGTCCTACCATCGCAGTCCTAAAAAGTCACCAGTTTCTATGTGGGTTTTCATCAATCATTCTATCAATTTCGTGCCAAACTTTGCTAGATTTCCATTGACTTTTGCCCTACAAAAATGACATTGATTCTCCTCTCATCCCTATCTTATTTTGTGGGTATATTTTAGTACCAAATTTTTTTGTTGTCGGCAATCGAGAGTATTCATATCAATTTACATGTATTTTAATTAATCTTTTTTCTTATTTAATCAAAAATAGACCATTTATACTAGAACAAAGACATTCATGAGTAAAACTATATAAATTTGTCACTTTTTAAATTCCATAATAACGAAAATCTTGTGCATTAAACTCTCTGTTTTGCTAAAAAAAATAAAAAATTTGACCTACTTCTTATAATGTCTTTTATTTTTTATGAAGACCAGGTAGGCAATGAAATGAAAGTAACTCATCAATGAGCATGAACTAAATACCCATTTTCAGTTGTCCACGTCTTTGAAATATATCATGATTCATTGAGAGATTTGATTTTTTTTTTTTTTTTTGGTTTCTTTTTCTGCAATCTTGAGCACCATTCCCACTAACAAATTAGTTTTGGATGGGTCGACAGGTAGGACTAATCTATTGTCCTCCATTATCTAGAGTTTAGTGTAGTTTTATGGTGAATTATTTACTTAGTTGAATTTGATTTTTCATAATTAAGAGGATTTAAGTTCAATTTTTTCTCGCACTCCTTAATTCTGACACAGCTCAGGTTCCAATGACTAATCAAGAAATAATGGATACAATCCTAATCATTCTCTAACCAAAAACCAGAAAAAAAAAAAAAAAAAAAAAAGAAGGTGAATTGTTATTTGCTTGCCTTTCTATTTGTTTCTGTCACAATGAAAAGGATGACAACTTGTCACACCACTTTTTATTATTACCCCTCACAATGAGAAATGGCAATCTGTCACAATACATATCTCTAATAAAAGTTATCAAACAGTTAAAATTTATTATGATTTAACAAGAATTTAAAGAGCACTAAAATAATTCATTATCACAAATAATTAACAAGTTATTCTAATGTCAAATAATAATAACCCATTTTGATATGACTAATACGTTTAAGAGAAATACTATCAATTTCAATAACATACTAAAATTTACAATCTTTTGAGATGTAATTACAACCGAAAAAGTAATAGAAATTATATTTAAATCAACTAAATACGATAGAATTATTACATAGATCTGATTTTTTCACTATTACTAGAGAAGGGAAAGGAGGAATGGAACCAAGATTTGAAGGGTGTTGCTACTCCAACAGACATGGACAGAACTAAAGAGAGGCCTAGGGGAGGGGACCATGACACCCCCTCACATTTTCAAAAATTTTTATATAAATTCCTATTTTTTCACTTAGATTCTAGAAAAAATTTATGAATAGACCATTCAGCTAATTCATTTGAAAGGACTAATGAATTGATACTTAATAGTGAAACGAGAGATGCAACCCATAGATAAGTAATGATTATACAACATATGATGTTTGATTGGACGAGTTTAATGACAAAATGAAATTTTTTTTTAAATAAAAAATTGCAATTTTTTTTTGTAAAATTAGATTATAAATGTGGATTATATCAAAAGTAATTTGTTGTCCCGGCTTTTACTATCTTATCTTGTGAAATAATTATTTGTGAGAATAATTTATTTAAAATAATTGCATAAAATCATAATATGAGAATAAAAGGATCATGACAATATCACAAACTAAGTCTCAAAATACTAAGAACTAATCTTTGAATTNCTGTCACGATGAAAAGGATGACAACTTGTCACACCACTTTTTATTATTACCCCTCACAATGAGAAATGACAATCTGTCACAATACATATCTCTAATAAAAGTTATCAAACAGTTAAAATTTATTATGATTTAACAAGAATTTAAAGAGCACTAAAATAATTCATTATCACAAATAATTAACAAGTTATTCTAATGTCAAATAATAATAACCCATTTTGATATGACTAATACGTTTAAGAGAAATACTATCAATTTCAATAACATACTAAAATTTACAATCTTTTGAGATGTAATTACAACCGAAAAAGTAATAGAAATTATATTTAAATCAACTAAATACGATAGAATTATTACATAGATCTGATTTTTTCACTATTACTAGAGAAGGGAAAGGAGGAATGGAACCAAGATTTGAAGGGTGTTGCTACTCCAACAGACATGGACAGAACTAAAGAGAGGCCTAGGGGAGGGGACCATGACACCCCCTCACATTTTCAAAAAAATTTATATAAATTCCTATTTTTTCACTTAGATTCTAGAAAAAATTTATGAATAGACCATTCAGCTAATTCATTTGAAAGGACTAATGAATTGATACTTAATAGTGAAACGAGAGATGCAACCCATAGATAAGTAATGATTATACAACATATGATGTTTGATTGGACGAATTTAATGACAAAATGAAATTTTTTTTTAAATAAAAAATTGCAATTTTTTTTTGTAAAATTAGATTATAAATGTGGATTATATCAAAAGTAATTTGTTGTCCCGGCTTTTACTATCTTATCTTGTGAAATAATTATTTGTGAGAATAATTTATTTAAAATAATTGCATAAAATCATAATATGAGAATAAAAGGATCATGACAATGTCACAAACTAAGTCTCAAAATACTAAGAACTAATCTTTGAATTTTATGATCCAAATTAGTTTTTACAATATTATTTGTATGAAAGTTAATTTTTAATAGGTTTTGTATAATTGTTGCTCTAGTTAATAAAATTATTAAATATCCTATTATTTTCCCTTCCTTGGACTAAAATCCTAGCTCCATCCTTGCTCATGAGAGAATATTCAATACAATGGTGATCAACACTGCTATCTTGACCAAAATATTTTACCAAATTTCACTATCAAATAAATGAGTCTCATTAATATTTAATGATGGAGATTGTATCACATCACTTTGAATGAAAAACTTAGCTGAAAACTTAATAAGCATAACATTAATTTAATAGTAAATATTCACGTACTATCCTTAATTAATAATAAAACTTCAAATGGATAAAGTAAACCCGACTTAGATAGTTATTGCTCTACATGAAAAAGAATGGGTAATTACCTATTTATATAGACAGATAATTATTAACTTGTGTAAGATTCACTTCCTTATTTATCTGTATATTATTAACTGATAATATATTACATGATAGTACTAACGTAATTGACCCTCGAGTCCACTAAATAGATCGGGTTACTAAAAAGAATTGCAAAGTTGTTTACTTTTATTTTTATTTTTATTTTTATTCTTTTGGGTAAGTAAAAGGTTTATTTTTCTCACATCAGACAAGCTTGTGAGATCACAAAATTGGTTGTGTGAGGATGATGATGATGATGATGAAGTTTACAAATGTATGTGGTATATTAATTACTTTCTTGGTAAGGCATATAGATGATGTTCCTTGACGTGTC